CTCACATACACCATTCTGTGTAGAAATTATTCTAATATACTGTTAATACTCAGTTTTTAAACTACCATAAAAGCGTCAAAAGGTAGTTCGTTGGAACGTTGTATAGCAGAGGTCGAAAATACCGCGATGTCTCTTAAGATTAATTGCAATCCTTTGAAAAATATCAGAAATTATGCACTGAGATAAGAGGAAAATTTCAAAAATCTCACAGGCATCATTCTATGTAGAACTTATACTGTTATTAATACTCCAAATTTTCAAACCCTCGTAAAAGTGACCCAAAATTCTCTTTAAATTTAGGCGGAGACTCTTCGAAACTTCGGAGGCACCGTGTTGGCTAATGCTTGCGGGCCCTGCATTGGTCAATGGGATCGTCAGGACATTAAGAAAGGAGACAAGAACACGATCGTCACCTCGTACAACCGTAACTTCACGGGCAGAAATGACGCGAACCCCGCGACTCACGCTTTCGTCACCAGCCCCGAACTCGTCACTGCCCTCTCGATCGCTGGTAGACTGGACTTCAATCCTGTTACCGACAAACTCAAGGGCAAGGACGGAAAGGAATTTCTGCTGAAAGATCCGTACGGTAAATAGGATTCTCCTGTGCTCGTCGAATTATCATTCGTTCGTGGCGAATACCGTACAATTACGCGTTGAGCGATCGAAAAGATAAACAGGATCCCAGCCAGTTTGCAAAGGATTAAAGCCGTGATTTACGGCTCGCTCGTGGCAACGAGTTACCAACGTTTTCACAAAGTCGTTTGCGTTATGATTTATCGTTTATGTCCAGCGCTGGATATAATTACGAGGTTAAAAATAACTGGCCAGGAGGATCGAATTAGACATCTGACTGCGAGACACTCGCTGGGAATTGTCGCTTTTGAAACTGAGATAGTTAATTACTTAATTACGCGCGTGATTATTTCGTGATTCGCGCAGATAATGGACGGTTTGATAAAATCGTCTGTCTGCGTATTTTCCTTTTTAACGAGTAGATCAAAGTTTCGTCCGTGTTTACTGCCGGCTGCGCCAATTTCTCGCGATAAAGTCGAAGAGACGAAATATCTCGCGCTGACAGCAAACTATGAACTACGTTGTACTTCGTTGTAACTTTGCGGCAACGTAAAAGATTCGACCGACTGACGGTGTAAAAATTGCATTGCTCTAGGCGACGAGCTTCCCAGCCGCGGCTTCGATCCTGGCCAGGACACGTACGACGCTCCACCGGCTGACGGTAGCGGCGTCAAGGTCGACGTGAGCCCGAAGAGCGAGAGATTACAGTTACTGGAACCATTCGACAAATGGAACGGCAAGGATCTCACCGACTTGACCATCTTGATCAAGGTCAAAGGGAAATGCACCACCGATCACATCTCGGCCGCTGGACCGTGGCTCAAATATCGCGGCCACTTGGACAACATCTCCAACAACATGTTCATCGGGTAAATGTTGAATAGAATCTTGAATATGTATATATATCGTAAATGTATCGACCGCGATGAGAAATCAATTGTGAATATTCGGTTTGTAAATAATTTTCAGAGCTGTGAATTCCGAAAACGGCGAGATGAACAAGGTGAAGAATCAACTGACCGGCGAGTGGGGGAAAGTGCCGGACGTGGCCAGACATTACAAGAAGAACAGCGTGAAATGGGTAGCCGTTGGCGACGAGAACTACGGAGAGGGCTCGTCTCGAGAACACGCAGCCCTCGAGCCGAGACATCTCGGCGGTCGTGCCATTATCGTCAAGAGCTTCGCCCGTATCCACGAGACCAACCTGAAGAAACAAGGTCTGCTGCCGCTGACCTTCGCCAATCCCAGCGATTACGACAAGATCCAGCCTACCGACAAGATCAGTCTCCTGGAATTGAACACTCTGGCGCCTGGCAAGGTAACGTCCTCGTCAATGATTTCAATGAAGATCTAAAAGATGTTGATCATTTGGTGTGCCTCTGTTTGATAATAATCAAACGTTTATTAAACGATCAAGAGTGATTTTGGCTCTTGATCGATCACTATTACAAATATACACCATGTATATTTTCTAGCAACTAGGTACAAACGATCAAAGATAGTACTAGAAATATTCGCAACTATATTTATTCGAGTATTTGCGTACGTGAAGTAACTCCTTCAATTTCGTCTATACCATTTCTAAAATAGTAAACACATTCGGATTGGCCAACCAGGGGGAAATGTTTCAGTTACGCAACGATGATCTCTGAATAGTGTTATTGTTAAATTAATCCATCTCTTCAACTTGCAGCCAGTGAAAGCAGAGATCAAGCACAAGGACGGCAAAGTGGAGTCGATCACTCTGAACCACACGTTGAACGATCAACAGATATCCTGGTTCAAGGCGGGCTCGGCACTGAATCGCATGAAGGAGATCTCCGGTGGACACTAGAACACGCGCTCGTCCACTGAAGCCGCGAAATCGTCATCGTTCATGAGGAGACATGCCACATCGATCTCGTAGTTAGTTGCGTGTATATATCGATAATATCGAGCAGAGATCGTTACTCGATGTAATCACGCTAATCTTGCAGGTAGATTTGCGTAACGTAATCGCGATGATGAGGATCGCCGTGTCTCGGCGTTTCAAAACGAAAGAGAGAGAGAGAGAGAGAGGGGGAGGGGGGGGAGAGTTATTCAAAAGCGATGAAAGAAAAAAATACAGAGAAAAGGACGAATGGTACACGTTTTGTTTTGACACGACAATACCTCGATACGTTCGTACGTACTATTCCCAGGCAAAGGGAAGAGAAAGGAAGCAATGATGATGAATCAAGACCGATCGGGTGAAATTATTCTAGCCAGATTTCTAGTACACGTCAGTCAAACGATAGAGGGAGCGAGTCGAATCGTTCTTTAAGCATCGCTCGAATCGTCCAGTGTCGCGATGAATAACACGTACAATGTGCGAGGAGGAAATTTCCACGCGTCGATAGGGCGGCAACGGTGCAACTCGCGCGTGCCAGCGTGTTCATTTTTAAATCGTGTACAGCCCGACGATGGCACGCCGAAATTGCACGGCCCTCGGGTCGAGCGAGAGGTTTCTTCTTCCTCTGTCTCGATGGAATCTTCTGTACATACTACATTATTGTTCGCAATGTAGGAATCACATCGTGGTTACACCGTTTTCTAGATACGACTGGTTCGATCAGATGTAAGATTCGCTGTTGTTGCTCGAGCAAGAAATAAAAGATCATACCGAACAGCGAACATTTGTCGTTTCTTCATTCGTCGTCTCATACACATGCATACGTGTAATTTACATTTGATGGATATGCGCGAAAGGTAAAAGTAAATAACGATAAAAAGTAAAAGTATATTAAGCTTCTCATCAGCTTTTAACTTAACACTCTTTATATAACAAACTCGTATATAGTGCCATTTACGATGAACAATAATCAAGCATTCGTACCATCTGCTGTTAAAGACGAGAACTACACATGCATAGATCCTATACGGAAGATTTACAAAATCATTGTTACAATCAAATAACATCTTCAACTAATATTATTTTAGTTAAAAAAAGAAAATACTTCGGAATAACTGTCCATTTGATTTAAATTGCAAAAGGGAAACAGATAGCAGATAAAATAAATAAATAAATTTGAATACGAAGACAAATAATAATTTATATCGCGTATTAAATAGTTCTAACGTAATCAACGTTCTAAAATATTGAGTACAATTTGGAATAATTCTGTAGAAGGTAAGCATCGAAAATGATCGATACGATTTTCACGAGTCAACATTGCTCGTGTCGTGTAATGACCTCGTCTAACCTCGAAGCTGAGATCAGAAGCATTGAATTTTCTAAATTCAACGTAAATTGAAGTGTCACATAAGCATAGAGTCACTTACCCCTTTGCAGAAAGGACGAAGATGCACCGAAGAGGGTCCATATTAAAGTCAGGAAGGAAATTCATCGATAGAAATCGAGGATCTATTATGTGTCAATTACGTCACTGGTTTTTCGTTGACGATCGATCGATGATCGTCAGATGTTCAAGCATGCGCCGTGATCGTGGCAAGTTCATACACGTCTGCAATCATACATACGTACTTGCAATTACAAAAAATACTTGCTTATACCGTGTAATTTTTATTTCTAATCTTTAAATCTATATCCTGAATATATTAATTATTATTAATATCATTTTAAAATATTAAAACATCATTTTGAAACATGTAAATACAAAAAATAAAAGAATAAAAATTACTGGTGACGTTACTAACTAACGCATTCGAACATTTTAATTTAATTCGTAAAAACAATTTTGATTCGCGGTGATTTTAATTCAGAAAAATAGTTTCAATTGGATCGGATATTCACTTGGATCGTTTTCTTTCGACATGTTTACATCATGAATTTCAGAATTTTCGCTGCAATTTAATTTCAAACAATTAATTACAAAGTTCCGATCTTGCTTTCCCTGCCGATATTAAATTTTATTCTTCTAATTAAACAGGCTTACGCAGCAATAAATTACCTGCCATCGTCATTTCTCCGTGAATTATGGTATCTCGTGGTTTCTCCAAACATTTCACGTCGAAACTATGCTTACGGAAGTAACGGAACCTGTTACAGATATTAGGCAACATAACTGGCGTCTTCCGGATACTAACAAAGAAAATTCCCCCTGTATTTAATTCGACCGTTAAAATGAGCCACATGCTATAGAAAATCGAGGCGCATGCTTCGTTGCCACGACGACCGATTCGCTTAACCGTACACAAAGCCTGCAAATAAACCTACTATGTCATTTTTCGTTCAGATGATCCTCCTGTTCGAAAGGGAGAGACTCTAGACACTCGCAAAAGTTCTCGAATTTTAGTCGTAACAAGAGTTAAAAATTTCATTAATATCCGAATCAATGAAATGTCATACTGTCTGACAAATTTCTCAATAAATCGTACAAGCGCTCGAATACTTTCTCAAGTGATTTTCATTTTACAAGCAAGCAAATATCATAGATTTAAGTGAGTTCTCTTTTTTTTTTTTTTTAAATCGCGAGTCGATAAACTGACTTTCTTACGTTCCGATCTCGGTCATGTCGGCGGAGGGTGAGTTTTTCCTCTCGATCGCAGGATCCATCGAGCACGGGGAGTTTTACGACGTCAACAACGCCTATTGCAAATACGGATTCCACTTTGGCCCGGAATGGAGCGTAATCGCCGTGAGTTATTTTGTTTGGCCACCTGAAAACGGTTGAATCCGATCAGAGCTGAAAAGGTGGATTTTCGCCTAACATCGATCGTCTCTAACGTCTACAACTCGCGCAATTGCATTCAGGGTATCGAGGAAGGTCTTACGCAGATGTGCAAGTGCAGCAACGATCCGCGAAATCTGGCAGTCTGGAACTTCCCGCTGGAAATCACATTCAAGAGTACCAACCCGCACGGATGTAAGTGAATCAAACGATACTCGACTTGTTTCGAGATAAATCTCACTCTCTCTCGATTTTTCTTTGCAATCTGATTTGAAAGAAGAACGTGAAATACACACGAAAGACACGTTTGTCAATCGGGACAAATATTAGAAAATTCGTAAACTAACTAGGAAACGTCAATATTATCAATTTTTTTTTTTTCTGGCATCAAATGATGTGTTAGGGCCTCAGTTAATAATATCTGTTTACGGCTTGGACACCTTCGGCCACGATGTCATCAGAGGATATGGAGTGTGTCATTTGCCGCTGGAAACAGGTCACCACGAGAAAAGGTACTAGATTATGACCCTTGGAAGACTCCTTAATATTTCACAATGAGATATAAACACCGTTGCAACGTCATCACGCTCCCATTTATCGCCACAAATTGCGATACTGACGCCATTTTTATTTGTTCTTTCCTGTTCACGGCAAAAAGTAATTAGTCTCCTGGAATTTGGAATTAGAACTTTATCGTAAAATATCGACATTCCTGGATTATTTAACACAGCAGGGGGAACACGTGTTTCCAAGACTTACCCAAGTTTCGTCCGCTATAAAACGTCCGATATAAACACCGTTGCAACGTCATCATGATCACATTTATCGCCACAAATTGTGATACTGACGCCATTTTTATTTGTTCTTTCCTGTTCACGGCTAAAAGTAATTAGTCTCCTGGAATTTGGAATTGAAACTTTATCGTAAAATATCGACATTCCCGGATTATTTAACACGGCAGGGGGAACACATGTTTCCAAGACTTACCCAAGTTTCGTCCGATATAAACACCGCTGCAATGTCATCACGATCACATTTATCGCCACAAATTGCGATACTGACGCCATTTTTATTTGTTCTTTCCTGTTCACGGCAAAAAGTAATTAGTCTCCTGGAATTTGGAATTAGAACTTTATCGTAAAATATCGACATTCCTGGATTATTTAACACAGCAGGGGGAACACGTGTTTCCAAGACTTACCCAAGTTTCGTCCGCTATAAAACGTCCGATATAAACACCGTTGCAACGTCATCACGATCACATTTATCGCCACAAATTGTGATACTGACGCCATTTTTATTTGTTCTTTCCTGTTCATGGCTAAAAGTAATTAGTCTCCTGGAATTTGGAATTGGAACTTTATCGTAAAATATCGACATTCCCGGATTATTTAACACGTGTTTCCAAGACTTACCCAAGTTTCGTCCGCTCGTAGATATGTCTAACGTCTAATGTTCAACAGTGTAGAACTAACATCGCGAGTTCAGACAGGAATTGCATCCCTAAAAAAGAAACACAGGAGGCATTTACGAAATCTTGGAATCCAGTCTCCGATGATGCGTCACTTTAATTTCTCCGCCTGTTAAACTCGTTCCCCGAAATCCTGCCTGTCACGACGCGAATAATTAATCCGAGAGTCCATTAAGCAATTCTCTTCTCGTCGAACGAGATTTAATTAGCCGGGGGGGGGGGGAGAGTAATCGTTGTTCGTTGACGATTGTCAACTAATATTGATGAAATTCCGCAGGGTATCGGTGTACGTGCCGGAGTCCTCCTCAGCGTGGCAACGATTTGCGGCTTGGTTAACCGGAAGAAGGCCAGAGCTAATTGATCCGGCGATATTGGCCACTGGCGGCGGAAGGGAGCGTAAGGCAACATTTTGAAAGCGTTTCACTCCTCGTCCCTTGCCGAGACTAGAGATTTCGAGGGCAGTCGAAACGTTTATATACGGCTGTGACAATTTGCAACATCAGCCAATAGAAACGAATTGTACTATCTCTCGAACTATCTCTCGAACAGGCGAGTTAATCGATACGATATATACCAAGTTCAACGATATCAATTTACCAGCGGGACCTGGTCGATCTCTCTCGTTTCCCTTCCGTTTCTCTCCGAGATTCGGTAAGTTCGTTCTCGATGGTCAATGTTACGCCGACCGGAACTATCTCGTTTGGTACTTCCTCCACGTTTTTGGAAGACAGCGGCGGAACTTTTTTATTCGGTGGTTCCGCAGGAAGTTTCGAAATATCCTGAATTATTTATACATTCCAAGTTCCGTTTCACGGTTTTCTTAATTCGTTATTTTTGCTGTTTCTTTCTTCAACGCTTTAAATCGTAGTTGCTTTATCATTGAAGACGAAGTCATTTAAGTCGTTAACAGCGTGTCGATTCCCATCAACTATCCATTTTAATCTCGTCGCGAAGCGCACGCGTGTGCGAGTTGCAAAATAAATCAGTCAAGTTGCGATTCTCGCGACTCTTCGAGAGTAACCTGCAAAATGATTTTGAACGACACAGTTTATCTTTCCGCGTCTCTGTGACACTGGAAATTTACACGTGCACCTGATGTTTTACTATCCGGCGCGTCCAGAAGGGCGGCCTCGAGTAATAACTTCTTTTGTAATTGCAGTCACGCGCATGAGAGTGGAGGGTATTGTTACTGTGACGTTCAACGTTGTGCTGAAAGATTTCTTCAAGTTGGGCTACAACAACGGCGAGCAGCGAAGGAAGCAACGAGATTTGAGTTGATCGATGTAAAAACGTTCCACCGATATTGCGACACTTTTGCCTCTCCACTTCTTACGCTCCCGTGTCTTATCCTGTTACTTACGTTTCTTTCGAGCAAGAGAGTCTCTGCCCGGATATATATTTTACTCAGAAGACACCGAGAGTTGAAAGCGATTCCGATTTGTAATAAACAAAGAAACGTTGACTCGATTTAGTATCTCGGTTCAAACATTGATTCAATTCATTCGATTTATTCGACTGTTGGATTAATCCTTTGACTGGAATTCTCTAAAAAATAAAATATGTTCAATTTTTTGTGGATCTCTAAAGGATAAGAGTAATCTCTAAAAAATAAAGATAAATTTAATTTCTTAAAAATAAAAAATGTTCAATTCGTTGTGGATTTCTAAAAAGTAAAAGTCATTTCTAGAAGATAAAAATAAATTTAATCTCTAGAAAATAAAATATGTTCAATTTCTTGCGGATCTCTAAAAAATAAAATGTGGTCAATTTTTTGTGGATCTCTAATGGATAAAATTAATTTCTAAAAAAATAAAGATAAATTTAATCTCTAAAAAATAAAATATGTTCAATTTTTTGTGGATCTCTAGAAAATAGAATTAATTTCTAGAAGATAAAAATAAATTTAATCTCTAGAAAATAAAATATGTTCAATTTTTTGTGGATCTCTAAAAAATAAAATATGTTCAATTTTTTTGTAACACGTGAATAATAATAATAATATTTTTTACGTAGGCTGCTTTTTTACTGTTATCGCAAAATAATAAATAAATTTGCGTTAAAACCGTAAAATATCAAGTAACAACAAGGTAATCCGTTTATACGTTAGATTTATACATTTTGCCGCGTATTTCATAATGTCATCAATACAAATGGTGTCGTGTCGTTTCGTAAATTGTTCTCTGGCTCTTTTGTCGATATTATCGATGCGCTTGTCTACCTGTATAGAACTGTATGAAATATTTCGATACGTTACTTTACGTTCCCATCTTTCGGCTGAAATAAAAAAAAAGAAAAAAAAAGAGAAAAGGAAACGTCATTAAAGAATCGTCGATAAAATTTCAGTCAGTCGATGCGTAATTTTAACGAAACGAAATTTCCAGGCGACAAAAAGAAATCATCACGCACGTAACGCGCGTTTGTAAATATTTTTCCGCGGGAATTGAATGCGTTTGTCCCGTTTACTACTGGCTAAAGCGAGCACAATAATCTTGATGAAACAGCGCGGCTACGCCGCGCTGAAGGAAAATGCCGAGGGATAAAATGTAAATTAACGAGCAACGGCTGGAAGAAGCTCTGATCTCTCTGTAAATTAACTCGCGCAATTATCGTTAGAAAAACAGAAACTTCAAAGTATATAATCCCAAGTTGGGGGATAATTTAAAAGTTTGAAACTGAACTGCCATCACTCCTGCGAGAAATTGTCGTTTTCTCGTGTATATATATATATATTTATATATATATATATATATGTATATGTATGTATGTATGTATGTATGTATGTATGTATGTATAAAAAAAGAAGAAAAGAACGAAATTTCGCTAGAAAATCTGGTGAAAATTCTACGACACCGTTTCCGTCCGAGGAATTATACTGCTCCCGTATAATACTCGTTCGTTGACACAGTTGCAGATTGTTAAACTTGCAACGTTAGCGAGATTGTGACTCGATAGATACATCGAGAGTTTCTTCGCGACATAAAAGTCATCACTGATTTGACTTGTATTTGACTAGATTTCCAATTCTCATTCGATGTCGTACCTGAGAAAATAATCCACTAAATGGAGAACCACACGATCGATCGATCTCGAGTCAACGTCAAAGAATTAACCGTACGATTACCGATAGAAGATGCACCACCGGGGCGATACTCCTGTCGCTTTTAGCTCTCATTTATTGCGTTCTAGAAGAGCGAGCAAATGTCCCGGACGCCGGCGAAGCGTAAATGCGGGCTTCACTCTCACGTGCAGGACATCATGCGCGAGGGTGGTAAGTGAATCGAAAGGTATGGCGCATTTTGCAATTTCGTTCCATTCCCTCCGCCGTGTAATAAAATTCATCCAGCGATGTCGCGCACCGATCGAGATAAAAACCGAGCAGCAGCTCGCAATGTGAACCTTCGAACGGTGAATGCTGTCTTTCAAACCGAGAAATTCTCGCTGGCCATTCTCAAATTCTGCTTTCGCGTGAACGCGCCTGTCGGGCTTAAATGGAAAAATTACAAGCTTCACTTCATTTTTCTTGAACGTGACAGAAGAACAGCGTTTCAAGACGAACAAGTGTTCCTTTCTGTCGATCCGCTTGGCCGATGCACTCGAAATATTGCGAATAAATGGTCGAAACAGTCGAACAGGGATGAAGATAAATGAGAAGGAAAGAAAAATGACTCTGTCTCCCCGCGTCCTGTCGGAAAAGAGGACGTGAATCTTAATTACGTGTCACGCGTGTAACGCAGAGTGATGCCCGGACTCTACGATGGAAAATATTACACCCGTGTACATAATTACATTTATTCGCTGCGCCGGAGAAATTATCGTTACAGCGTAGACACGAAAATGGTTTTACATAGGTTTCGCAAAATGAAACGCTGTTACACATTGACAGAAAATTTTAATGAATATCGCGTCCCACTATCGATTTCCACGACAAAGTAATCCGATATGAACAAGAATAATATGCGAATCTCGCATAATGAAATTTGCGATAAATATTGAATTACCTTACAAATTCGTATTAAACACGGTATATACACAGTATGTATGAAAATTAAAAATAAAAGACACTTCAGTATATTTAAATTGTCATTTAGAAAGGTTATTTTTTCCCCTCTGTCCAATGTTCTGTTCGTGAAATCCTTCGATTACCCAGGAGATATTTGTCTGATCCTCTACGAAGAATAGGATAAAGATAGGTAAATCATTTCTTTCTTCTTTTTATCAATTTTTTCTTTTTTATGGTTTTTACACACATGCGTTTTCTTTACAGTTTTTTGTTTCGCTGAAAACAGTTGCTATGCCGATGTCTTATCTTCTCTGAAACAATCCTTCCTGATTCTCGATTAATTCGATAAAACTTTCGACTCGTTTCTCGCACGAAAAACGATCAAAATCGCATGCAATCGTAGTTTTGAAACGTTAAACTTAAAGTTAAAATTAGAATACTGACAAGTTCCACGCGTAATTACTATAGTTTTTTGTGCCCATAGTTTCTCGTGCACGCGATGCGCACGTATTTATCAACTAAAAATATAATTAATACAGAACACCGTCAACAATGGTTCTTCAAAATTTCCATCCAAAATGTCAATCTCTATCAATTTCCATCAACCTCTTGAAAATTTTAGTTACACTAGAAACTGATAAAATGTCGATCGATACATAAAATTTGGTTTACCTTTTTTTAACGTCCCTTATAAACACGAGACTTGTAAATTACTCTATCCGATTCTTATCACTTAATACATTCAATAACACATTCTGAATGGACAAAGTTCCAACAGATTAGAAACGTTAAACATGATAATTAAATAAATATGATATTTAGTAACTATTGTCAATTAAGTTTCCTCCCGCATTATATTACAGCATCTGGTATTGTACTGACGTTTTATAAAAAATCCTCGTCGGTGTGTTTAGTCCGTGATAAACAAATATATATATATATATAACTAGAGAAAAATTCTTTTAGAAAATATACATTTGTTGATTCGTATCGAACAAACAGTGGGTTTTATAAAACGCGCAGCCCTGTTTTTCCGTTATGAGACTAGATTCGTTGGAAAATACGAATGCGTTGCATTATCACCAGTGAAACCTGTAACAAAATTTATCAATTACACACTTTCGGTGAACGAAGTCTAAGGAATTTCGACGGCAAGTGGGTAACGGTGAAGAAGTTAAATTCATGAAGTTTCGGGCGGGGTAGCTAAAATGAAATTAAAGAGAACGATAAACTGCACAAGTATTTAGCAGTTGGGAACAGTATAGTTAATTCTAAGTTTTGTGAACTAACTCGCGGACTAATTGTCAATTATATTAAAGCGCGTAATTCTTTTATACTCCGTGCACTATTCATTGGCCATTTTTCTCACAGCCGCGGTACCACGAAAAAAAAAAGGCACAAACTTACGTCAAAATTCTCAGTCCGATTAGAATACATATCCGTTGCTGAAACGAATATAAAATAATAATAATATAAATAATAATAATAATAATATAAAATAATATAAATAATATAAAAATATAAATAACAATAATAATATAAATAATATAAAAAATAATAACATAAAATAACAATAATATAAAAATAACAAATAAATAAATATAAAACAAATAGTAAAATAAAAGAAGAAAAATGAACAATACGAGTAATCACCCTTTTATTCTTCGATCTCCATGTCTGTGTCGCCCTCGTAGGCAACCTTCCTCACCTTGATGTTGGGGAAGGTGTTGAGGAACTCTAAGATCACGCCGTTAGTCCATCCGAACCCGGTCTGCACGAGATACTCCCCACCGCCGCCGCCCTGCCCCGGCCTGATCGAGTCGTACTGCAATTAAAACGCTAATTACATCTCGGTAATCACGCGTTCTTGTTTCTCAAAGCGGCCACACAGCCAGCCGTTGGCCGACGTAATTAAGTTTACGACCGGGCGATCGAGAGGGAGTAGTTCTTCCCTTGTTAACTGTCGCCGGCTCTTGCCCGGCCACTGTCTTGGACTTTCAGCCAATTTTCCAGAAGCCGCCACGGTGTTTCCAGAAACCGCCGCCTACCCGTGAGTTTACTCTCTAGAATTCTAATCTAGCCGACGGTGATCATCAATATACATCCCAACGAGGAGCCCGGACAACGGCCAACGAAAGTTAAACAAACTTTCGCCATTCGGCGGGGCTGCGCCTTCGCTTTTAATGAAATTCAATGGACGATAATCAAAGGGGGCAGCCAGCCATCCGTGAACGCGAATAAATGTTTGCTAAAACATTTTTGAGAACGGAGGAAAATGGCATTGAAGCGACGTTCGTCATTTTGAGCATTTTGAGATTCTACAGGAAGGAATTTTAGAATTTTGAAATTTAAAGACCGATGAAGGTCGAGTAATATTACAATTTGAGTGATATTCAAATCACAGATATAAATATTAATTAATCGCTGTGTGCACCCCCAGTATTCTTCCCCATGGTACGGTTTTAAGGGGTGCTTAAAAACCCCCCTCGAATGTTGTTTGCATTTCTTTATATCAGTTTCCCACCAATTGAAAGTGAAACGAGCGCGAAAGAGCAACTTTGGAAGAGGGGACAGTCGAATTAAGATGCAAATCTATACTTCTTAAGAGTGTAAAGAAGTTTCGCAAAGGGCACGGAGATATTCCGATATCTGTATTATATATGTGTTAACTGTATTTTCTCCTTTCACTCTCGGATAAGACTTTGCGCGTAAATTCTTCTCTGAAACTTCCTCGACAAGCGAAACGTTTTCAAATTCAGTCTTCATATTTCTCTAATTGTCGGAATGATTCGAGCCCGTTTCTAAAGGAAGCTCCATCTTTAAATAACTTTTCGACAAAGATGTTAGCCTATCTCTGAAATTAAAACTGGTTTTATCGTCGTTTCTGCCGATATTTCTGAAACATAATTAAGAATTATCGTCTTTCGAGGCACAGCTGCAACGGCCTTTTGAATCATGTATATCCTTTTCCGATCCTCGTATATCTCGAACAAAGACCGTATGAATTTTGACTCAATAACACACAAATGGTACTTGAAACACTGTACAAGTACGCTCGCTATGTATTGCGAAATTGTTGAGAGTCGTTGCGCCAATGGTCGTTTAGAGATTAGAAGAATAATACGTCGCAATTAGAAAATCTTGCAAAGTTCCACTCGGATAAAACTTTGTGGACTGCTCTGTCCTCTGAAGCGTTCGAAATCGTCGAAAGAGGCTTTTCTTCTCGTTCATCGCACGATCCTCTCTCTATTCCCACGCGGCTCTTTCTACTCCGTTTCTATTTCCTTTCAGTCGGCGACGATAAAGAGCACCGATCTTCCCGAACAAACGTTCCAAATTATCGTCGATTTCCCTCCGACTCTTTTCTCTAAAACGTGTATCTCAATTTCACTCCTCCGCTCGTTATTTTCATTCTTCTTCCACCGCGATCCGATAATATCAGCTACATTCAATTACCCCGCATGTAGAAATTAATACGCGAGCAATAGAATTCAACGAAAAAATTCCTCCACTTTTCCTCGACACCGGTAATTAATAATATACTCGCGGTAGCTAACTGAATTTCAATTTTACGTTTCTACTTGCCATCAGCGCTGATTATCAACGGTTACCGATGTGTGTATATATATATAATCGTATCGAAAATTTTACATGCGAAGTAGAAAATTCTGGATAATGTTAAAATTATTCGCATTTTTCCCCAATATAATGTACAATGTCAGTTTCGAAATATTTCGAACGTTGGAAAAATAAAATATTTCTCCTTTTTCATATCCTTTTTTTCAGAAACCAGTCAATTTTCCGGGAAAAATCTGGCAGGAATTTCCACCGTTCCGTTTGTTCCTCTTTTGCAAAACTTGTAAAAAAAAAAAAAAAAAAAAAAATGGAGATTTTAGAAAATTTGCGTATTTTTTTGCAGAGCGAACAACGTTCAGAGAGCATGTATAAAACAGTTCCGAGCGGTTGAACAAATATCTTTCATCTTTTCTCACCGCGAGACGAGAGCAACAATTTTCAATTTGCTGGAGCGTAAAACGTTCGAATCAATAAAGGGAGGAAAAAAAACCTTTGAAAGAAAACTTTTGAAACACAGTTGCCCAAGGTAGGACTATCTTGTCCGACGCGGAGAGAAAAAGGAAAATAAAACGGTGTTCAATACTTTTTCATCGGTAAACTGCCCTCGTTGCCAGCGCGCAAGCTTCATAAATTTTCTTCTGCGTCATGGTTTCTATCGCGGCCGAAATGGGACGTTCCATCGTTCTTCAGACTGCAACGGTTTCTGTATCGGCCGAGTATCTTCCTCTCGCGATCGTGCGATATAAAAATGGACGCAAAAAAGAGGGACAGGGGAAAAAAGTAAAAAAAGAGAAAGAGAGATCGAATGGTTCTGACTACTGGCAAAAATTCATACGAGCTGGCGAAAAATGATGAACAGTGATTCATTCCATCTTCGAACGTATTTGCACGCCGAGCGTTCGCTTTCACCGAGGGGCCGATAGAGAACATTTCAACTCTGAACATTCGTGCATCTAACTTGCTGACAGTCTCTCCTTTTTTTTTCCGCTTTTTCTGTTTTGGAACCAAACGTGCCTTTTAATTTCAGCCAGTGAAACGACGACGAATAATCAGAGTACGTGAAATACAAAGTTTAGAAAATTTTTAAAGCGGACAAAGAGTGGGAGAACTGATCCGTTCCAGGAACGTTTCAAACCAGTTTCCAGATTCCAGCTTGTTATTACAGTAATGAAAATTCCGTTATGTTCAATATGTGAAAATTGTGTTTGCACGGTTTACGAGACCGGGGGAGTGAAACATGAAATTTTTATGTTCTAGTGGGAAAGATATTGCATTTTATTTGATAGTTTTGTGTCCCGTTTCATTGTAAACATTATGAAATTTCTTTCTCTTCTTTCGAACTTTAGCTTTGGGTAAAGGGGCTAAGATTCAAAATTGAGTGAAAACAACGGTTTGCAATTCTTAAATTGGATATACAAATGTCACTCCAGTAAGAAACAATGGACAATATCTCAAGAATTGTTTTTACCTCACTTTAGTAAGCAACAATCGTTCGGCAACTTGAAACGCTCGATCAAGCTCAGTTTCGTTTACCTGTTCACCAGCTACGCTCGTTCCCATTATTTTTTTTTTTTCGGAAAGAGTTCGTCGATATTTAGCTCACCTTCTCAAACATATGGCCAGTCTGCATATAGCCGATGTAATTAGAACCAAGCCATCGAAATGCCAATTCGTGGGAGAACTCCACCGCTTCTTTAACCCCCGTCCAGTAGAGACCCATTACGATAAACGATTGTAATGGCGGCCACGCGTTTGGAAAATCCCATTGTTCCCCCGTTTGATTCAGCGATGTGGGTGTACCTCCTGTAAAAGGGGGAGGGGAGGGAAGAAACGAAAAGGAGTTTAATTAAACCAGCCTTATTAACCTTGCTCTCTCTCCTACACCTCTCCTAAACCCCGAAACCGAATTTCAATTTCAATTCGTACTCTGTCACAGCGCTTGCCGGAAGCGATTACTCGCATCAAGAAAGTAAATAATTCGCAACGAAGCACCAACAACGGTTACAACACCACGCGCGTAATTCAAATTACGTTTCAATTACAATTGGAAACTTGATAATTATATGATTGGCAAACTTGTGAAAAGTAAAGTGAACATTATCCAAGGAGTTGCATCGACCTTTAGAACTTTGGAACTTTAACGACCGCGGTGGAAATTTTGTCGTTTTGTCAAGAAAACTAGAAACGCTCTTCGTTTCGCGTCGCGGTGTGTGCTTCCTTCTTCGCGAGATATTCGCTTTGGCTTTCCTTCGTCCCTGTCGCGCGCGATCCGCTCGTCTCGCTCTCACGCGCGACACTGACCTGCCACAACGGCGCCGCCCGCGGGGTGGTCAGCGACAGACGTTGGAGTCAGCATCCTTTTTACTACCGCTGCTAAGCTGACGTGAGTGCTTTCAAGAAAAAATGTAGGTCGCGCGCCGCTGTTCCGCGAATTAGGCTACCCACCACTCTCAGCATCCCTCGCGGCTTAAATGGACCCCGCGCTTTACACTTCTTCATCTCTGTAGCCAATTCGGGTATCGACGCGAGAAGAAAGAGCGACTTGAAGGGCAAGCGAGTGTTCTGCCGGTTTACGCGGAAATGTGTTTCTGACTCGAACTCGTAGAACAGCTACGAAGAACAGTTGGACAACGAGAGATCAATCAAATCCAGAATCGTTAATTGTGGCGATTTCGTTTCTAAATATAACGAAAGGGAAGGACAACTAAATTCATTCGTGAATGCAAGTATTCGGCTGACCACGTGTCGAACCGACAATGCTGTTCTACGAATTTTCGCGCAACCGGCAAACGTAGAAACTGTTTATCTCTTATCGCGGTTCCATTCGATTTCATTTTCGGTAGAAGGTAACCTTTAACCACCAAGTCCTACAAAGCGTCTTTTGTACTTTTTCTTTCCTCTTTCCTCGTCTACTGGCTCCATGAAATGAAATCAGAGCTTCCTATTTACTATTCTTCATCGGTGGAGCACGAACGACAACTCTTTCGACCCTTCATTTGTAAAAATCTATGCAAGCGACTTCACCACGAAGACTTCAGGCGAAAACTCACCGAAGAAACTGTCGATATTCTGCGACTTGAGGTACGCCACGGCGGACAAAGCGTAATAGTCGCGTTGGATGTAATTGTAGCTTCTTGTGTAAAGTGGCGCGAGATTCGAGGGGTAAAACATGCGCCTGTGCTCTTTGGTCTTCATGTCGTAATCGAACCATACTCCTTCTTCGTCGTCCCACAAGACGTTGTCGATGGCCATTTGAAGCTGCGAGGCTATCTTCAGGTAATACTGCGACTTCTACAATTACAAGCTGCATTTTAATACAAATTTAGTATTTTATAACGATAAAATGCTAAAATTTTATAACGATAAATTTGTGAAGTGTAAATACATTTATATTAAATTACATTTTACATTTAATTTACATTTAAATTTAATATTGTTAAAAATATTATTTAAATTTAATATTATTAAATTTAAATATAAATTGAAATGCAATTTAATATAAATGTAAATTTAATATATTAAATTTAGTAAACATGTTTACTAACAGCAAGTACTTGTATCTGACTGAAACTTTAAGGAAGCTTATTAAAGGCTGGATTGGTACGAATTCGAGAAAAAAAAATTAAAGTTATTAGATTAAATTTTTATCCAGTCGAGGGAATTCACTTCAATTCGCATTCACAACGATCCTATGATGCTTTTTGAACCTTAAGATCAACTTTAATAGCAAGGAATTCTGATACCAGATAAGCTCACATAGAAACCATCCTTTTGTTCCCACGACCACATCCTTGTTTAATATTTCCGTTTCTCTCACACATCCTTCCTAATTAACAAATCTTCAACATCTTTACCAATCCCATTGCTTTACCTTTGGATCAGGCCAATATTAACCCACGCTGGCTTACACGTGCTGCTTGCAATTAGAAAAAGGAATTATAATCCTACGCGTTCTGAATATTAATATCGTTGACGACGTGATATTCCCACTTTGGTAAATGTCACAATTTCAAAGTGAATCTTTCCACGATATTCCAACGGAATAGGATACAATTTTCAATATACCGAGCTGACTAATTAATCAGTCGTATCAACAGTTGTTAAATAAATTACAGACATCTCGAACACACAACGACGTGTTTAGAATATTTACACGTACCGCTTGCAATTAAAAAAAGGAATTAAATTCTTGAATTTTAATATAATATATCTATCCAGTTTGGTAAATGGGGCAACTTCAAAGTCAATATTCCAACAGAACATATTGACCGATAGTTACTATGTTACTAAATTATTAAGTTAGTTAAATAAATTACAGACATCTCGAACACACAACGACATGTTTAGAATATTTACACGTACCGCTTGCAATTAAAAAAAGGAATTAAATTCTTGAATTTTAATATAATATATCTATCCAGTTTGGTAAATGGGGCAACTTCAAAGTCAATATTCCAACAGAACATATTGACCGATAGTTACTATGTTACTAAATTATTAAGTTAGTTAAATAAATTACAGACATCTCGAACACACAACGACATGTTTAGAATATTTACACGTACCGCTTGCAATTAAAAAAAGGAATTAAATTCTTGAATTTTAATATAATATATCTATCCAGTTTGGTAAGTAGGGCAACTTCAAAGTGAATATTCCAACAGAACATGTTGACCGATAGTTACTATGTTACTAAATTATTAAGTTAGTTAAATAAATTACAGCTACCTCGACACTACAGCAATATGTTTGAACGATATTGCGCGGAGGAAGCTTGAGCAGAGGCTGACTTCCTCCCGATGAATGTCTTACGACTTACCGCTCTGTTACCGAGTATTGTGTGGAACTCGCTGAGGAGCCGGGCGTTTTGTTGCAGAATCGCGTTAAGATCGACAGGTATAATGTACTGCGTCGAGATGTTCAGCAAGTTGGGCATTTCGCTTTTGTTGTTGGTAATGCACCATCTGTACGAGAAGTCCCAGCCACTCTCGGCGCCTGCCTTTATGTTGTTGTAGAAAAAGTTCCGCGACTTTTCAGGAAGTTGTTGCGCCATTTCGTAATCCTCCCTGGAGAAGAGTAGAATCGAGTCAAGTCGAAGAATCGAAGGATTCGAGGACAGATCGAATCTTCAGGGGGAGAATTCTCTTGGAACGAGAGTCGAGGAATTGAAGGATTTGGGGATTCGAGGGTTTTCAAAGTCCACGAAACTGATTGTCCGAGCGATCGCGAGGAGCGAAGTATTCGACGCACGAAGTTGAATCGCAAACGGATCGTCGTTAAATTGCAAACTGCCGTTTCTACGTGGACGAAATACGGGCGCGATAATTTCATTCCTTGGCACGCGAGTGTGTATCAGAAATTCATGCGCGCCGGAGCATGAATGAAGATTACACTTTATTATGCTTGCATTTCTCGCATTAACGGTTCCATGGAGGTTCTACTCTATTATTTGAGTAATTGCCATCGTCGGCACGAGATGTAGATTTGCTGTGTCAGCTTCGTCGAAGTTGCGCAGCGCACGTGTTTCGATTCTGAATTCGTTTTGACTCCGTTTTGGATATTAATTCGATATCTCGTCGTTGAAAGGGCAAAGTTGAAGTTGAACACTGGTGGTTCTGGATCAGTGACGTCATCTTTAGAGTTTAGAGAGTTTAAAGAACGCGTAAATTCGTCGAATCAAATGTTCCTGCGTACAGAGATATCAGGAACCCATAAGTAATGTCGTTTTCTGATATTGTACAGAATTTCAGTCCGTTTAAATTATTTTCCTTAAATTATTGTCACTCGATGGCAACGTTTGTTAAATTTTATAAAAAAAGACATTATTTATAGGCATCCCTGATATATCTCACGGAAGACAAGTTCTACTCTTTAGATTGTATTTTTATAAAACGTAGAGGTTCGAAACGATTCTGAACGAAATTAACTTTCTGGCGCCTAAAGGCGTTTTTAAAATTTGCTTTCGAGATTACTGTTGCTGTCCACTTCACGTTGCTCGAATCAAACTAAAGGCACCTACGCTTATATTTGATAAAATTTTACAAAAACACAACTCGAGTGGCGAACGGGTTGAAGACCGACCTGTAGCTTTCCGGCCGAGGCCTCGGGCTGTTGACGATGTAATGTCCCATTTTGTACGCCCTCCCATCCTTCTTCACTTCGATCATCCTCTCCGTTTGCCAGAAAGCAAACTCTTTCTCCAGCGTGGGTATAATCGTGCGCAGGTAATCGTAGTCCCTGGTGAACTCCAAGTATCTCGAGACCTATCGATCGAGAACGATCTTTACTTAGATTTTGTTCTTCGATAAGTTTCGAAGTTTCGTAACAAAATTGAGTCGAAATTATCGCCCGAGTATCGGTATCTAACTAACATGACCCAAACTGGTAAATATAACTATTAAATTATGTTACAAACGCTACTCGGTGGTCAGCCGGAATCGGGCAAACTCGGGTACACGTGCTTGTAAACGATAGTTACGTCCAAGGCAAAGTTCCGCGATGTTCCCGATATTCTCGTCATGGGATCCGATATCTTTGGGACAAACAAGCGCAACTGCAATCCGACTATCCCCACCGAAAACGCATTAGAGGATTGGCAATTGAAACCATCCCCTAGGAACCACCCCCTTTGCATCGAACTTTTCGAGCGGTGGCGGTGCACTATGGAACAAAAGTTACGAGAAACGAGCGTCACAACAGTATCTTCCCACTCGGGTTACTCCGTGAAATAGTCGTTTTCCGTCCTAAAAAATATTCCTAAAATTATCGACCGAACTTTCGCAACTTCAGGGGTCACCGACGCGTCACTTGCTCAGAAGCATTAATATTTAGCTGTGCAAATTAAAATTCAAAGTCCTTTGGAGGATTGAAACTATTCTGGGTGGCATTTCTGAGAATAATTGTCTTCTGACATATTGTTGCATAGTTTATAGTTCTCATAGTTACAGTTCTAACTAACTTATTCTAAGTAACCAAATTTATGGGTCGGCTAGTTTTCTATCAAGTGACCAAATGATTTAGAAATTTCTGACTTGCCACGCTTTTGGCCGTTTACAACTGTTATAAAATTAAACATTAATATTTAGCTGTGCAAATTAAAATTCAAAGTCCTTTGGAGAATTGAAGCTATTCGGGTGGAATTTCTGGGAATGGTTGTCTTTTGATAACTGTGTCTTCTGACATATTGTTGCATAGTTTATAGTTTTCATAGTTACAGTTCTAACTAACTTATTCTAAGTAACTAAATTTATGGGTCGGCTAGTTTTCTATCAAGTGACCAAATGATTTAGAAATTTCTGACTTGCCACGCTTTTGGCCCTTTACAACTGTTACAAAATTAAAAGATTTGAACAAGATAAAAAATCAAGAGAGTAAAAGGAGACTGCAGATATACTCGTTCGAGATTGCCCTGTGGTTGGCAGAACCACGTTCGAAATTTTTCCACCAAATTCCCAGTATCTCCACGTACCGAGCGCAAAGAGTCTGCATGGCCAGGATTTTCGTGGCTCTTGCTAGATCCAGCGAGTTTATTCAAACGTGTGCACCGACAGTGACTCTAAATTTCCTCGACTTAGCCTCTTCAACCGTGTTTCCTTTTCTCCCTCTCTCTCTCTCCGTTTTGACAAAGAGCTGTGTTCATTTCGCGGAAATGTAGAAGACCTCGAAATGGTCTCGCCGTGCTTCAACCATTCCTTCGTTTTTTTTAGGAATATTAAATTTGACTTTTCACAAGTATCACACTCGTTTTGAATTTCATTCCAAGCGAATGAATGCAACGCCACAAACGTGACAGAAGGCTAGGTTTAACAACATAATTGTACCGAAGGTTTCCACCAACTACAAGATTTTAATACTTTTTTCCACGGTGGTTTATCTCCATCGCCGCGAAAGGAGATGAAAAGTCAAGTATTCAATTTCACTATGAATGGGATCGCTTTAGCTCCCTGTCCGCGGCAGCCACGTTTCAACCGCGTCCACGCTTGTTGCATCGATCTCGCTCTTAAATTACAGAAATTTTCCAACTTATCGAGCCTGTCGTCCAAGTAGAATTGCGTGGAAATGTTTCCAGCACCAGATTTCCCGCCCGCGCCGAAAAAACGGAAATGCGAAAACTTTTGTCCGAGGTGGTCTCGGGCAGGTCGAGTTTTAAACCTCCTCTCCCTCGACAAGTTGTTCGAACAAATAGAGGTAGGATTCAACAACTGCAACCCACGTCAGAATGGTATCGTTCCGCTATCGCTCGTGGAAATTTCAGAGAGCAAGCTATTATCCGCCGCGGTCAAGTGACTTTCAAACTCGACGAGCCGTCTCTCATCGTAGAATAGGTAACTTGCGCGACTCGATTAATCCAACCGAGGTTGCAATCAATACGATTATTCACCCGTGTCGACCTCTGCCCGCAATCTCTGATTAATTGACGATTAATTGACGCATCTTTGTGCGACTTTCTACTTTCCTCGAGCTAATTCGTAATTACGTTTCTCCTTTCCTTTTGTTGTTGTTGTTGCTGCAGCTCGAATGTCAATTCATCACTGCTGTTTTTGTTGATTTTCACAATTTTTTTTTTTTAATTTATCTACCTTCTGGTCATTAGCGACGGCTAGGTATTGTTTCCTTCTTTTCAAGACGATTATATCTTATGGTAGACGTTAGATCTTTAGATATCCTTCAGGACATTTCCTACGTGTTTCTGCGACGTCAGAGCTGCCGGTGAAGTTATTTTGCTTAATTCAAATAGAAGATGATGGGTTGATAAAATTCGGTTGCATTGGATACATATTGGTTCTGTTCTTTTTAAATAGATACTCATGTTTCACAGTTTTTCTTCTCCGACCAAATATGTAGATTCACAGTCGTACGTAGGAATTTATTTGTCGATTCCTTTTGTCAACACTAAACCAACGACTAAAGCATGAAATTTCCATCAGAGAAAAGAAAGTAAAAGAAACAGAGAATTTGTATGATACAATAAGATGCACGAGATTTCATTTATGTATTTTAAAATACACTGTCTCGTATCTGTAAATATTTAACAAAAACACTCAAACGGCCACTTTTACCATTTTGGTAGTTCTAGTGTTAACTTGGTTACGCCTTGACTTTTATATAAAATTATTTAGTTTTTTAATTCTCTTTGTATATTAAATTTATATATCTCTTTTCTCGAAAGAAGATTCTTCTAATAATATTATTATTTCCTTTTGGTTTGTTTTGACGGGTCTCCTAGCCTCTTCTTATTACTTCCTTTTTGCACATCAGAAATAATTCTTGCCAACTCATTAAACGAGCATATTTTTGTTGCTGGTCAGCACAGCTCTGTCATTCCTATAAATATCTAATTCTGTAAATCTCACACGCTGATAAGAGATGACAATCAAACTATTACACAGGTGTTTCCTCTCTTTTTCCACACATTGGACAGATATTAGTGCCCGTATGTTCCCTATTGTATAGAATGCTATTTATAGATCCATAAATTGAAAAGAATTCGTAATTACAGCATGTCCAAGTGAATTTCCGACAAGTAAACACGCTAACGAGGAGAACAAGTTTTCGAAACGAACGCTCGACAGAGAGTTCGAGAACGCTCGCGCAGTTTCATTGGAATTCAGAGTGAATCCAGAGCTAAATCACAGATTCTTGCAAAAATTTCGAAAAAAAAATTGCTCGAGTTCGGTCGATGGACTATTAGCAACGGCCGTGCTAAGAAGGAATCGTTTGTGATTTCAAAACAGATTCGCTCTACGTGTTCAGGAATACATACGTCTGCGTTTCTGCAGACGGCTAAAAAATGAAAGATGGATGTGAAAGGGCGTAACGTACCATGAGATGTATCAAGGGCGGTTGGCTCCTCATGAGGTAATAAATTCTACCGCCGTTCGGTATGAACCCATATTTCTTCACCATGTATAAGAAATTGTCTATCATTCCCCTGGCAGTTTGATACATGTCGGATAATAACAGGCCTTCGATCACCCAGTAACTGTCCCAATAATAAAACTCTGTCGGGGAAAAGCTTCCGATATTATATTGTATTATACACATTTCAACATTTTCATATTATATTCGTTGACGAGTGAAAACACTTTCAATGCTATTGAAAACTCACGTTCTCGCGCAGCGAAACTTTCGAAAATCTACTTCGCAAATGCTAACGATCTCCGTTGGAAATTTAATTTGCATGTTGCTCGCTATATTTGTTACCAATATAATTCGGTTGCAATCGTATATTTCAATCGTCTCTCCGAGCCAATTGTATTTAACATGAATGAAACGCGAAACAGTGAAACAGCATATCTGAATTTATGCTACGGAGTTAACGTAAAATACAATGTCCCGCGTATTATAATGCTTCTCTATTGTTACGAGTGTAGCCAGAAATTAAAATTCGAACGTTTTGTCGCGAGTGTACTGTTTTCGTACGAAAACGAACGATGCTTGCTCGTCGAACGAAACGTTTTCTCACATATTTTGCATGACATGCTTTTTTTCCCTTCTTTACCTTTGAAACGACCACCGGGAACGATGAAGCCATTCTGCACGTAGATCAGACTGTGCCTCTCCGGGTGCTTGGCCACTTCAGGATTTATCTTTCTCGCCAGTTCCTTCCAAACCCCGTTCAGAGCTCTCGCCCATTCACGATACTTGGTTTCGTGGATGCGCTTCAAGACCGAAGGGTTCTCCGTCCAATCAGGCAGTGTCCAGTTTAGCAGCTCATTCGACGAGCTGAAATTTTCCTCGACGTACCGAGCCACCTGGCTTCTCGTCGGTTTGTTGCCCGTTTCGTTCATCAAACTGCGAAAGCTGTGATCGCAATTCGTCAGACAAATCCAACTAAAAAGTCACTCGAGGAGAATGGTATCTTTTAACTTTGTGGATACCATCGTGCTTTACTTGTATAACTTTGTTAGCAAAATATTAGGTTGAGTCGTAAATCATTTTAAGTAAGTTAAGTTGGCGTTGAGTTAACCGCTTGCGCTGGCAACTGGTTCGCGGACCATAACGAGTGACCGAACCGTATACAATAGAATCGTCGCTTTCTTTTTTTTTTTTTTTTTTTGAACTCGTCGATATATCACTGGAGAGAAATTATTAAGAAGTAATAGACTCATCATTTGTTTCGCCTGGGTTGCGAACTGAGACAATGGGTTACATTTAAATATACTATTAAAAACTGAGAAAATGTTGCAATTTGGGACGAAAAATTCTCGACGTGTACAGCACGCGCAAGAGGTTAATGGCGAATATATCATAAATTAGGATATAATTGTTGTTTTTTTTTTTATCGACGAATAAAGTCAGTTTGTTTCACCTAAATGGAAATTATTTATGACTCGACCCAATAATAGAGAGACAGAATTTCCGTCTACGTCTGATGTTTTCTTCATTTTTTCAACTCCTCTTCCGACCCTTAAATATCAGTTTAGTTTTCGTCGACTAACCTTACTTGAAAGTTACAAGTTAATCTAACTTCACGTTTTTCCTCTGGCTCGTAAAACGGGAGCGAATTTCGACGGCGGAAACTGCCAGCGGTAACGTTCCAACGAGACTGCGATTGTGCTCGGATTGCCCGCGAAAATAAAACAGATTCAAAATCGTAACAAGGGCCGATAAAATGAGAAATCAGCGCGACTGAACTGACTTCGAACTAATCCTCGTAATTGCCAAAAGTGGCCAAAGTTTTCGAAATATTTTCAATCAGTTGAAATCAGTTTCGTCGCCAAAATTTTCGTCGCCTGTGAAATCTCGTTTGGTCAGACTTGCATTCGCTGTTGCAGTAACGGATTATCAAGAGATTGAATCCGGCCCGTGTTATCCCGAAGGACAGGACCAAGTTTCGCCGAGCGAGTGAGCGAGTGGACGAATGTGAACGTAGCCAGGCATCGTAAACTGAATACTATAAACGTCCTAGTAAACGGGTGGTGACTTAATGCGGCAGCAATTTCAAAACCTGACGATTCTACGGTGATTTCATTTTCGGTGCGGTCGTAAATTGCAAACACGCTGCTTTTGTGCCGCCAACGCTAGAACGAACGTTAGAACTTTATCTCTGGGGCCGAATTCGAAATTATAGAACACCGAGCGAAGAGCACACATTGATCTCTCTCTCACTTGCCCGTTTAAAAATGAAATTTACGAAAGGACAAGGACGATCTTCTGAACAAGTTTGTATCGCGTGAAACGAGTATCAAACGGTTGGTCAAACTTACTTGGAAAGAGTTATCTCGGGGTCGTTTAGCTGATGAAGATCGACGAACTTTTTGCTGTCGTTGAAGATACCAGCTAGCTGCACGGTCTTCAGCAGTTCACCGGTGCAGTAGATCTCGCTGGAAAAGAAAAGCAAAAGAATGTACGTCAGAGCATCATAACGTACTTATCTTATGATAATGCAATTTCTTTCTTTTTTTTCTCAAAATGTAGCATTATCGGCGTCGTAAATGAAGCTGTAACGCGTTATCGTTGCAGGGAGCGACGCGAATCAATAATCTGATTACGTTATTCAACCGTCTTTTAAGCTGATTACCCACTGATCCGATTTTGCTCGCGCCGAAGGATCGTTTAATAAGGAATAACTCGATGCAAAATCTTAGCCAGACTACGTTCTATCATCATCCTACGTGGCGACACAACAATTGAAAGACAACGCGTACAATTCTCGTTTTAAATAATTATGTAAACATTCCGAATATTTGGAGATCGAAACTTTTAATCTCGTGTCGATCATTTGAATCTCGGTGTGCGTTGCAATTCCGGTAGAAAAGCGAACGAGTAGCGTTTCTTCGATTACAAGAAAAATTCTGGTTTTATCTATCGATCTGCAATCTTATCTCCAGCTTATCGCGCAACGTTCAAACAGCGGAACTTCGAGAATCGTGTTTATCGGAAGCAGTCATCGCTGCTGGAAACAACTTTTAATACATTTATATATCGAATCACGCGAGATCATCCAACGAGAGGTTCGTTGAAGTTTGCTGGAAATTTGCTCGAATTATTGTGAATCATTCGATCCTTTGTTATGTGATTCAAGAATATTTAAAAATGTAGTTGCCGACGATAAATATGTATACCGCTAAAATTGCATGCAGGGTGTCCCATTTTATTCTACGAATTATTTGCGAAACTATTCGTCTCAAATATATATATATATTTTCTGTTTCGAGAAGATAATAATATACTTGATACATGTAGAAGATATGAAAGTCGCTGCTATTTTCTGAAGTATAATCACGTAATTTTTTTATGCCAGTCGACGCAGCAAGTCATTTTCTGTAAAAAAACAGTATTAACCTACGTATATCGAAAAGCTTAATTTTAATTTTATAAAATCTATCATACGAAAAACATGGAAGAACAAAAGTAGTATTCTTGTACTCATACTGTCCTCGTTTTTTATCCATAGATTTAAAAAAAAAAAACATCTAAATCAGTTTTAGGGTTTTAGACGTATGTAGGTTAATATTTTTCTTTTTTTTTGTACAAAACGACGAATCTGCTGCGTCGATTGATGCAAAAAAAAAAAAAAATTACATAACTATACTTGAAAAAGTAATAACGACTTTCATATCGTTTATCTAGAGTGTCTATTTAGAGACTACGTATCATGTGTGATAATGATTAATTTGTATGACTTGTCCTCTTGAAATAGAAAACAAAAAAAAATGCATTTGAGATATTTTTTAAATGACGAATAGCTTGGACGATAATTGCATTTATAAATCGAAATGGGACACCCTGATATTTCTCAGCTTCTCGAAAAGCTAAAAATAAGAAAATTCTTTGACGAGCTCGAGTAGAATCTTTCGATTCTCCCTGGCGTTTCCTCGTCGTTTCTCGTCCGAGAAAAAGAAAATGAAAGTATCCTCCGGCTCATTCTTTCAGTCTTCGAATTCCTTTTGTCTCTTTCATGCATTCTTCCCTTTCCACTCTCTTCTCGAGATGAGAAAACGCAACGATGACATCGTAAATATCGCCGGTCGTCGCCCCCTTCTCCTGGATTTCGCACTCGCCCCAGCCAAGGGGCGAAAAGAAAAAGTGGAATAAAGAAAAATATCAGGGACCTGTCTCGAGGTTGTCGACCTTCGTTATTCTACGTTACAGTTTCCCTTTCTATCGGACACACGCCAGTATCTTTGGTGTCGGCGTTTGATCGATGGAATCTTGCCGCGCGAGCCTTCAAAACTCCTAATGGATGGCCTTTACCTTGCCTCCTTTTTCCCCCATTCGCAGTTCGACAGCAGTTCGAGCTGCGTTAAAATATACGCTGTACATACGGAGAGTTTGCTTCGCGTGAACGATAATCGAAAAGGTAAATCTATTCGAAGAGAAGCGAGGGGATGAAATTGGCCCATTTTCTCGGATGGTATCGTAATCTTATGTGTGATTGATCGTAGGGAAACGCGATGAAAATCGATTTAATGGTCGGAGATCCGACTTCTTGGGGAAAAGGAGAAAAGATCGATAAATATGACAGACGCCGTAAGAAACTAGGTGATAAAATATGTCACGAACTTTTAGTTTCGAAGTGACTGCGCCGCCGTTGAAGAACCATGATTTCTTCGATCGTTCTGAGGATGTTTCGAGCAGAGGAAATAGTTTCATTCTGGTTGCAGAATCTTCAATCAGGCTACCTGCTTCTTCTGCCATTGTTTTATCCTTCGAAACAATGTACTTTCGTTCGACGAAGAACTATGCATCCATTCGGACTTGAAATTTCTTCGGTATCCCACGTTTATACAGATAAAACTTTCCACACATCTTTCACGAAATCTCAAACTGTGTATATATATATATATAAAATTAATATTATATTTAATTATATAATTATATATTTAGTATTATATTTAATTATATATATATATTTAAAATTATAATAAATAAAAAATATTATAATAAATAATAAATAAAAAATATATAAAATTATATATTTAATATTATATTTAATTATATAATTATATATTTAGTATTATATTTAATTATATAATTATATATTTAGTGTTATATTTAATTTTATATATATATATATATAAAATTATATATTTAATATTATATTTAATTATATAATTATATAATTATATATTTAGTATTATATTTAATTATATTGACAATAAAACAAATGTGGAAGAAAAGTTTTTAGAAACAAAAAGAAGAGAATCCTTTTGATATCAAAATGGACAGAAATTGTACGAAAATCGGGACGAGAATGTCGTTAGAAGGACCACGTCGTTGATTATCATAATCTTCGATCGTTCGTCCTCTTACGCCTCTCTGTTTCCCTGCTAATAATATTTCGAGAACTCCCCCGAAGTTAATGAAGGCTATTTCACATAAGGGGGAAGAGGCTGGAGAGATGCGGTCGACTTCAAAAGAAAAAAAAAGGTTTCTCAGAGGGTTTCTTCAATCGGCCTAATCAACACTCCTCTTTCTCTCACGCTCATTTCATTCCGGGATACAATTCGGAATAAATTGCCCCTTGAATTCGGACCTGTTGCGAACGAGCTTCGGAACGTAGCGTATTCGTAGCATGATACGAAACCGTACCAAACAAATTAATCGAAATTGGAATTACGTGGAATTTGTCGTCATCAAACGTCATTAAATGAGTAAGTTGTCGAGAAAAATTGGCTTATATTTGCTCGTTGTATTTGCTTTCTGACTAGAGGGACGAATTAATCAAGTTGAGGGAACTTTGCTTATTGATGATTTTGGTATTTGTCGTTGAAAAAAACGGCATAGAACGAACGAAAATTAAATTCAGGGTACGAGGAAATTGTTAAATAAAGGCAATTGTTAAATAAATACTTGGTAAGAGCTTCTTCAACAAATTTTGTTGGACCTTGAGCGACGAAAGATTCACGGTGGCTCGCTCAGCTAAATCTGCTTTCCCTTGTAATTCAGACTGCATACTCTCGCAGGATTTCCACGCTTGCCGATTAAATCTTACACGCTCCCGAGGAATTTCGAATGGGTACTCTCTCGCGTGGAGAAGCGTCGCTCGAAGTCCAGCAAGAATTTCCTTTTAAACTTACAAGACACGAGAACTTCAAACTTTCAAATTTACAAACAGCTGACTTCCTCCAAGAAAGTTGAGTTAATTGACTCGATCGAGAGGAACACGTTCAGTTTGTCACTCGTCTACGTATGTATTCGACACATCTGCAAATTCTATTTGTTGATTCAAACTTGCGGCGATTAATTTCGTATTCCACATATTATTGAATAAGCAGCGAGGGAGATAAATCAACCAACTGCGCGACTGAAAATATTTAGATTTAAAAAAATATTTGCATACAGAAAGTTTGATATAATATTAACGAATTAAGAGAGATAACGAAGGAAAATTTTCTAACGGTAATAATAAACTCTATGTACGTGTACGTTCGTACAAGAGAGAGAGGGAGAGAGAGATAGAGAGAGAGAGAGGCGATTTCATTTCCCGCAGGGAAGAATAAATATACATATATCTCGCTATTAATAATGGCATGTGGACGACTGCGTATTATGCAAACAGTGCCGTAAATAATATTCAAAGCTCTCCGGGCGATTATTGCAGCAATTGCGTGACTTTTACATTCATTCAGGAAGGAGAACAGGATACGGAAGTGCAGAGAACGCGAAGTGTGGCTCGATGACGAGCGGCTAACTAAATAACATGTAAATGAAGTAACGTAACATCGGAGAAGATAAATCTGCGAGACGTCTCTGAAACTATAGTTACGCGATAAAACAAAACTGTCAAAGCGGCTGAGTTATGGCTGTTTCCGTGTTTTAAACGGTCGACAACACCATCACGGCCATTTATTAAACACCTTGCACGCGTACATATGCTGGTAATGGCCACGGTTACGATCATGAGATTATAAAGTGGAGTTTCCCACGACGCTGTTACACGACAAGTTAGGAACTTCGGGAGCAGAAAATTTCGAAAATGAAATCTGCCGTTGATAAAATAATTTTACTTAATGTTCGATGCGCCAATTGCAAAATGCAACTGATACCGATTTCGATTTCGGAGATTCACTTCTGGATTCGTGACGATAATTATGCTATATAGGCGGGATCGCGGGAATTAGGATATCCCGATTATCAAAACAACTTGCCAACTGCAGTCGTTTCTCTGTGAAATGATTAAACTTGAAACCAAATCTACGATGAGACCGTAAACTGCACAAAAGCGAGCGTTGGTGAGCCGCGGAAAACTCGGGGTGAATTATACTTCATTCGACCATCAAATCCCGCAAGGTATCGAAGTGAATTGCCACTCAATTAATTTTCAACTTTGATCCACTTCGACTGTCAAGAAAATCTCAGTATTCCTGTATTTCCACGC